TGAAGCTGGCCCCACATTGTTTCACTCAGTGAGGGTTGCCCTTGTGCCGCACACCTTCTGGTCAGGTCATTAGGAGGCAGCCTTTAGCCCACATAGAGCAGAGAAATTCTCTTTATATGAAGCAAGCTTTGCTCCAACCCTTTAGTTGTATGGAAGCTTGCATATTTCTGAATAACCTGTGTGACTGCATGTTTTCAGCCTTTTTTTGTTCTTTTTAAAAACCAATGGGAAAAGGTCACCAGGTCACAGAAACCTGTAATCTCAGCACTTGGGAGTTGGAGGCAGGGGTAACCCTACTTTTAAAAAAAGGTAATGTTGTTTAGCTGCTTTTGTGTTTTACATGCTTGGCTCTTTAAAGATGAAAGATGGGTGTCTAACTTCACTGTCTTTCACCTCTCAAAGCTTCAGAGTGGTGGAGGACCTGATTTCATCAGGAAACAGCCATGAGCTTCAGTTCAAATGTAAAATGCTTTTCTTAACCTTAGAATAAAGCAAAATTTCATTTGGTTTTACTTTTCTGTAATAATGCCAATAAGAAGATATTGCCAAAGACACAAGGGAAGCAGTTTTGTAGCTGAACAAATTGATGGTAAATCTACTTGACAATTTCTCAAAACACTATTCAGAGCACACATGGAAACCTTTACTCTCCTCTCTCTGGTGCACTGTTCTAAGAAAGGTTGAAGTACCGTAAGATGACTTAACAGTCCGCTGCTGAGAGTCACACAAAAACCTTCATCCATGCACCAAAGGAAAATGTTCCTCTTGATTAGCAAACAAGTGGTTACTGACCATTAGCTCTGAGATATGACTGTGTGCTCAACCTCATTCTAAGTACTTTCAACCAATGAAACATCAGTATTCTCCCACTTTTCAGAAGAGAAATCATGGCACAAAGAGAATAAATGGATCCACTGAGGCTTCCTAGCTAATGAATGGCAGCCTGGCGGCAGATCCCATCCTGTCTCCTGTACTACTGCCTCTTGCTGAGCATCCAGATAAAAATCATGAAACACAATGGTGGTGATACTTGTGACATTGGTCATTAAATGTTTAGTTGTGTGCTCAAGCTCATGGAAGGTATTTTTAAGACATAATTTCAGTTAATTCTCATAACCAAGAGACTGTGGTGTGTGTGTGTGTGTGTGTGTGTGTGTGTGTGTGTGTGTGTGTGTATGTATGTATGTATGTATGTATGTATGTGTGTGGTGTAGAATTCAGAAGCCAGCCTTGGGTGTCATTCGTCAGGATGTGTCTACTTGCTTTTTGAGGCAAGCTGTCTCACTGTGAGCCAGGGTTCAGTGATTATTAAGCTAGGCTGTCCAGGAGCCAGCTAGAGATCCTCAGGTCTCCACTTCTCCAGTGCTGGGATTACAAGGGTGTGCTGTCACATCCAGATTTAACATGGATCCTGGAGAACAAATTCAGGTCCTCACTCTTGAATGGAGAGCACTTTACTAGAGTCATCCTCCTAGTCTACTGCTTGTCTAGATTCTATTGTCCATATAGTATAATTAGAAAAAGGGAGGCTCAGAGGGCTCAAGAATTTGCTCTGACCATATTTGGAATTAAATCCATCACCTTTGACTTATTTTTTTCTCCTTGCACAAGTATGTGATCCAGGAAGAAAAGAGAACTATAATGACCTTGGCAGTGCAGCAGCCAATGCCAACATTCTGCCTATTGGTTACTAGTTACCTTTTCACCTAACAGGAAAGTTCAAAACCCCTTAGTATCCCTGGATGGCACAGGTACTTCATGATTTTATATTGCTTTATCTGTTCAACTGAAAACTCTAGTGATCACTCTCTGTCCTTTGACTTAATAGTTATGATAGGGCAGAGTAAGAAAAGTATGAAAATGGAGGATCATTTTCTCTTACTTTTTATGATTAGAGGCTGGGTTGGGGGTGGGAACAAAAGGACAGAGAAGGTTATTCTTAAACACAACCAAGGAGGCAAGACCTCGGTGGTGAGATTCTTGCTGTTGAGATCCAAAGTCCAAGATTTGGGCATAGAGAGGAGGCTGATCCTGCAGCCAAAAGTGTAGCTTGCAGCAGGTGACTCCTTGAAGGTTATGAGTAGGCTTGGATAAGCTAAGCCTTTGAAACCTGTAGCGGGAAAGTTTCCCTAAAAGTCGGGAGGAGTAAGGAGAGGAAGAGAAGGAGTAAGGAGAGGAAGAAGAGAAAGAGGAGGAGGAGCTAGGAGGCAGAGATGTAGGAGTGATGGAGAGCCATGTATGTATCGGGAGCAGCCCTGGATAACAACTTATATCTAGGTTAGTTAATTGGTTAACACTTCTACTTGTGTGGGCATCTTGTTATTTGAGCATTACCAAATATATAAAGCTATTAGATAATCTTTAAACATTAGAGAGTCATTTCTACCCGGTACCATGTGGATGGCGGGATGGTCTGGGCTCAGCCCAACCTTGTGGAGACAGTGTGGAAGATTGGCAGAGCCATTTCTCATGCTGGCATCTTGTGGGTGCAGGACCGGTGTTCTGGCCTGCCTGAGCTAGTGGCCTGAGCCACGGCAGCAGCAAGAACACATGGCCACAGGCCTAGGCTAGTCGGGAGGATAGTGGCTGATTAAGAACAAGCAAGATTAGGTGCTGCCATTTTAAATATCTCCCTCAACAAAAACCAGATAGAACTGGTACCTAAAGTTAACCCTGTGTAGGCTTGGAGGCTCATTTAGGTCTCTTAAATCCAGTGTTTGGTCCATAGGGTGTAGAAAGGATCCTAGGAAAGGAGAACAAGGATAAACACTTTGGGTGACAACACCCCTACTTGATGGTTTCTGTGTGGAACAAACCTTCTCATCTGTCCATGTAGCTATCAATAAGCTCTATTTCTCAAACTTAGGTTTAACTTTAGTATTAATGCCATTACTCTTGGATGTACTTCTAAAGACAAAAACAGACAGGTGCCAAGAACTCTAATAAAGGAGTTTCTAAATATTCAAAGAGTTTTCTCTTCACGTCTCCTTGAGATATCTCTTTGAAGACTTCTAATTAGCTATTTGGACTGAGTATGGCAGTCTTAGGTGGTAGGGTGTGTTAAGCAAGGTGAATTGTACTAACCTGGTCCCAATATTTTTTTCTTTTGTATCACATTAATACAAGACAAAACCCATATCACATATCAATTGATTTTTGTTCCCTTTTAAGGTAGTAGATGTCACTTTAGGATATATGTTTTCTATAAATACAAATAAGCTACCCTTAAACAGTTTGTAAAATAACAATAAAAGATACTATATAATTAACTTTGATTCACTGTCTACATAACCCTATGAGTATTCAACTTGGTATTCTTGCTGACTGTGACAGAGATTCCAGGGCTTAGCGTGACAAAGGTGGACATTCTGGTCTCTACGAAGTTTCCACTAGCTGATCAGCTACCAAAGCATTAGAAAAGAAAGCACCAAGTAGTCCATTGGAAACCTTAAATCATTTCTCCTTGTGGGGAGCATAATAATACATTCACTTGGCTGGCAGAACAGAAAATTCAGAGGGAAATGCCTCTCTGTAGATAGATTTGGTTTTGCTCTTCAACTCTTAAAATTTAGATCTCAAGGTTGCTTTATTTCTGGGTGTAGCTCTAGGAAGCTGCTTCCAGCATGGGCCTGAAGTATGTGTGAGTTATAGATATTAAAACCAACTTTTCCTCCACCCCAATACCCACGGCATTCCAGAAATCTTAATATGCTTTTGAGAGCCTCCATTTAGAGCTGGCTGCATAAAATGATCCTTTGATGAAAAGGAATTGGAACAAGGGTTAAAGCAGACATTGAAAGGTTACTGTAGAGGGCACAGTGTTCATACAACCCTCCTTTAATATGTGTGGTGTGCACCTGTGATAAGATGATTCATTACACGGGGCCTCTCTTTGACAAGCTCCATCGTTCAGCCCTCGGGCCTCTGATGGGACAATCCTACACCCGCCCAGGAAATATAACAAGGTCAGCTTTTTCTTTCCCTGGGCTGTATGTAGAGATGGTTTAGCTTATAATGCATCTTTGTTTGCTCTTTATGCAAAATAAAAAACAAAAGAGTTTAAGACATTGAGATTCCTGCTTTTGCAGAGCAGCTATATGTAGCAGGGAGTTATGTAAACACACTGCCTGGTAAAGAAATGATACTTTCCCTGTGTTTCATGATCATAAATGGCCATGCTGGAAAACCGAGGCCACTAATCACCCAGGCTGGGCTCTGGCTTTCCATTGGAGGGCACCCTGTCATCATCAACTTCAACCCTGCCCTGCATTGTTATGCAGTTTTTTAGGGTTACTGATCACTGAATTTCTGTCCTATGTGAACATGACATGGACACATGAGCCTTGTAGGAGAATGGGTGCTCTTCTGTGACATGGGGAAGGCTTAGTGGACCTGACAGATAACCAACAGGCATGCATGCAAATGCCTTCTGAGTCCCCTGAAATCAGTTAGAGTCTCAGGGGCTGAATGGCAGCTGGTGTCTAACTCCCTCCACCACACATACACTTTTTATTGTTGCTTGAATATGACTTTACATTAGCTTCCCACATATACAGAATATGGCTTTACTGAGGTTAGTTTAGATACACCAGAGTAGCTAGCAAAAGACACTAGTTTCTCTCATTAACTTCAAAACAATTTTAAGTGAAAAATGAAAAAGCGAAGCAAGGTTTTCTTTGAAAAATGTAGTTTTTGATTGTTTCAAAGAATGTCCCAATAGTGAGAAGGGGGAAATTCTTTAACTCAGGCCATAATACTAGTCATCTCACAAAACAAAACAACATAAAACCTTGACATTTTAGGGGAAAGAAAGAAAAATCTCGCCTTTAAGATATAGAAGCACTTCCCCACCCCTCTCCTATTCTTGACATTGCTAGTAAACATTATTTATTTGCCTCAAATAGATGCAGCTACATATCACTGTCATGCAAAGGAAATTCATTTCCTTTCCGAGTTCACTCTGCCGGAAACATTCACTCTTCCTCCCGTCTCCCACTCACCTGTCCTTGTGCATTAGTAACTAGTTGACCTGTGACCCCCTGAAGGCTGGAGAGGGCATTGCCAAAGGCCTGTGAGCTTGCTATGGAGCCCATGGCTGCTGCAGCAGCGGCGGCCTGACTTGCTAGAGGATTATTAACCAGCTGCAAAGAAAGAAAAGATCAGGGTGAAAACCACCACGCGGCAGGGGAAACCACACAGCGACACAACATTCCCTCCAACTTGCTCATGCAAAGGGCCCCGAACCCACTGCAGGGTCCCAGGAAGAGATTTCTTTGAAAACTGACTAGAGGAAGTTGGCAACAAGGTGGGGGCCTCAGTTGAGAGCCAGCCTAGGAGAGAAGGAGCCTGAATTTGGGGGCGGGGAATCACAGAATAAAATTCTAAGGAAATGTCAACCTTTCTTGAAATCGTCATGTGAAGCAGGAGGGGTGGAGGAAATTGATGTCCACAGGGTTTGTGTGTGGATTTATCACTCCCACGGATGGATTACAGCTTCTTTTAGGGTTATTTGCGAGGGACAGGTTTCTCACCCCACTTTCATTTCCGAGGTTCGAATCAACCAAAATTAGTGACATGCCAGTCCAGCTCCTGTGCCTTCAGAGAGAGAGTGGGTCTGAGGTTGGGACACTTGGGGCTTATTTTGAGAGATTCAAAGTCACTGGTGAATGGTCAGGCTGACAATTACTTTCTGTTTTACCTAACATGTGGCCTCTTTCCTGCAACAAACGTGCAACAGGAAGGAAATAAACAGAAGGGAGAGAGACCAGCACAGGGAGGTGGCTATGGCTGCCAAATTCGGTTTTTCCGTGGAGACCAATTCAATATTCTTTCTCCTGCCAATTTTCCACACCGCAGGTTTTCAGGCCTTCTGACCATGAGGCAGAAGGGTGGCATGAACTGAAATCTGCATTTAGGTTAATGACTAGATATAAATTCAAGAAACATTTAAACTATTTTCACAGTATTGGTTTTGATACATGAATTTCATTTGTATTTATTCTAGGGTGTTATTTTTTTCTCTCTGTATAGTTTCTCTCAACTTCAACAACTGTGTATAATAATGCATTTTCCATCCCCACGCTCCACATCCATGCAACTCCTACATTTTAGCAGAGACCTGCCAAGGCTGCGACCTGGGGGAGAAGGATTGGTCGTACTTAGTCCATGTCTTGGCTCATCTAGAGCTCCTCTTTAATTAGTATTATTTGTAAATGTTCTTTCTACATTTTAAACATTCTTTATTCTTCTCTGCCATCTCTGTTCTCCCCTTTCTCCTTCTCTTCTTTTTCTTTCTTTTCCTTTCAGAAAATATTTTGTGTTTTTATTGTTTTCGGAGTTTTCCCAGAGTTTACATCATCTGCATTGCTAACAGTACACCAGTGTCTTAGACTTTTCAGTTTCTGTTCCAGAATTTACTTATCTAATGAGTAAAGAAATAATAATGGGGAGTGGGGTGGGAATAAGGGGTTTTAATGTATATCCTTATTTTCTCTTATACCCCAAATCTCATTGACCCAGCACATTGTTTTAGAAAGAAAAATGCATTTTAAACTCATTACTTTGTCTTTTGTCATAATCTCTTTCCTACTTGGGGGAAAAATCCCATTCTTTGGCCTAGTGAGAAACCCTGATTTATCACAGATTGCCGTCTTGGAATTTAATATTCAGAGTAGCCTTGACCTTGGTGTTTGGCATATGTCTATAGTGTGACTCTGGCTGAGAAGTGGGGCATGTTAAGACAAAACACTCTAGTTTAAATGCCCACAATGGATGGTCCACATTGTATTCTTGGGGCACAGAGCCCTCTAGCACCCAGCCCAGACATCGCACACTCACATTTCATTTTGAACTCATTTGAGAAGACTTGGCTTACATTGTTTTTATGCATAAATCTGAAATCATAACAAAATTCCTGGAGTCATAAGAAAAATTTAACCCCTAAAGAATGATTAATTTATGTGCAATTAGGTTTTAGTTTTGAAAAGATAGTTTTGTCTACAATTGTGAGTGAAAAATTTAAGTTTACACATACACATAATCAACATTGTCTGAAGAAGACAAACTGTTATTCCTACTTAACGAAGATTGTATAGCACTTCTTTGATATCTTCTAGGTGAACCAAGGTACACAATATCACTTAAGAAATGATGGACTGACTTTCTGAGTGTAACACAGCAATAGAAACTGAGAACTCTCTATGGCTAAGAGATTGGCATATTATTCAGCAGTAGTCAACTGTATTTGCTGCAAAAGCAGATATTACATACAAAAGAACCTCATTTTGAATATAAAGGCAAAACCAGTTACTTAAAAAGACTTCTGAGTCTTCTGTTGAAGGTTTAGAAACCAGTAATGGGTGTTTTAGAAGACTGCTCAACTACCACAAAAGGTTGTTTTGTTTTTAACATACGTTAGCCTTACTGTAGCCTGGTCCTATGATTCCACTGTCCTTATGACATGTGTGTGTGTGTGTATACATATGGGAGTGGGTGCTTACATGCATTACCTTTCTATCTTTAAGGAGAGAATGCCAACTTTTTGTTACACTGTTTTGCAGAGCCAAGCCAGGGCCCTGTATACTCTAGACAAGTGCTTTCCCACTGAGCTATATACCCCTAGCCTTGGATGACTTTTATTTCCTGTCCAGATAGCTTCCTGGTTTGTCTTTGTGGATAGTACTTTGTTCTATGGAGAAGTCTGGCAGGCTTTGCTCTGCAGCTAGAATACATACACATGTGTCTGCTGTGGTACAAGTCAGTGTAAGAGCAACCTGCATAGTGATCATAGTGGACCCAGCTTCATGAAATACTTCTTGGCTCTTCTGTTGGGCAGGGATGCACTGCCATTAAGATAAGTGGCAGAGAGTGGGGGTGGGGTGGGAATGGCCATCACCTCAGGCCATGTTGCTCTGTGCTGTCCACAGTCATGTCACATTAGCAGTGCTCCAATCATGATTTCTTCTTGATTGGAGACTCAGGCTAGATTTGGACAGCTGTGAGCCCATGCACAATAAATGCATATAATGAGCGTAGTACTGTCTAAGGCCAACTGGGCATTTGGAAATGGCTGCCAAGTTTATGCCTTCATATCTTTCATCACCAGTGTGCCCACCAGGAAAAAGGCAGCCTGGAAGAAATCTGACTGTATTACATGGTGTGTCCTCAACAGATCAGTTCAAGACATGCTGATTCTAGTGTGTTCTTATTATAAGTACAGGAGGTTGCAGAGTAAGGATTTGTAGCAGATGAAGGTTTTGACGTTACATCCTGAGCATGTCAAACATGACAAAAGGATCTACAGCTGGTCTAATCTACTCACTGAAATGCCCATTTCTGAAGACATTTTCTTTTCTAGAATTTTACAGAATAAAATATCAAAATAAGTATAAATATCATTTTGTACCTCTGACATAGGGCACCAAACACTACCTTTCTCCTGCTTAAACAGAAGGGTCAGGCTGCAAAACCAGATGAACTGTAGATGCAAAAAACTCAAACCCCATTTTTTTCCTGGATAAAATAGATGGGAGAACGACAGCATTCACGAGAATACAATGGGAGTCGAATGAAAGCATTCGGGTAAAAGTCAGATATACAACCATAGCTCATGTTCTTAACAAGTACTGACTAATACCCTCACAGAGCACACAGCACAGAACCTTCTTACCTTAGAAATAACATGACAATTGTCCTGCTTTTACATACAATTTCTTTAGATTTTTCTGCTTGATTACTTTTGGCAGGCTCTTCCCCTGTAACCCAGGATGGCCTCCAACTTGAGATTTTCCTGCCTGAGCCTCCCCAGTGCTGTGGTTATAGGCATGTATCACCATAACTGGCTCTGTTTTTAAAAGGTAGCTTAGGGAAGCTACTAGCCATCTGACATGGTAACTAAATGAGTCTGTAATTAAAAAGAAGAGTAGAAGGCATATAAAACAAATAAAAAATTAGACGCATATCATGAGAAAGTATGCAAAACAAAAAAGAATTTGAAACAATTGTCACCTATCCTGTTAGATAGGACTTGAACATAGGTAGAGACAGCCGTGTTTCAATTCTGGAACCAGGAGTGGTAGGTGACAGAGAAGTCAGAGAAAGCATGACTTTCTTTACTGTGCATTATCCTTAGACTTAGTTTATAATATTTTAAAATTTTCTTCAAGTGCTCATTTTACAATTTAATTCCTGGCTCGTGTCAAGACATTGTGAAATAGTTTACTTTACAGTTGCTTATTAGATAGTAAAGGCACCCAATAAAAAAGATTAGAGAAAAATAGCTCTTGGTGTTTACAATGATCTCTCTTTCTCTCCCTCCCTCCCTCCCCCCCTCCCTCCCTCCCTCCCTCCCTCCCCCACTCCCTCCCCACTGTCTCTATTTCTGAAGGGTTTCATGTAAACAAGAATGGCCTCAAACGCTCCATGTATCCAATGACTACCTGAACTCCTGATCCTCTTTGCCTCTACTTGTAACTATCTCTGTGTTCATCCATCCGTCAGTGTGGCTATTGGATGCTGATCTCAGGAGAATAAGTCCACATAGACAAATCTATGTTTGGTGAATTTCTTTGCTGTCTATGAACATTAAATTATGATAAAAATTAACATAGTCTTTCAAAAAGCAGCCTTCAGGAGTGTTATGTATGTTATCTATAGGTGTCGTCGTCACAGATGACAGAACAATGCTTTTGTTCTGTGTTTTTTTCTGAGAGACTTCTATCCTGCATCTTGGTAAAAAGATTCAGGTTTCTTGAAGTTGGATATCAGCAGTCATAACATTTTAAAAGAAACCTTGCTGATTAAATTACAATAGTAAAACTCATTTACATAAACAGAACAGCACAACAAGGCAGTTTAGCTGTGACATGATATTCAATGTTCATGCCTATTTCCTAAGAGAGCTTTCTGGATGCATAGGCTCACAGCCTTCCTGGTGCATAATTGCAGGTGATCTATGGTTCTGTCATTCTGTATGAGCCATGTGGATTTTACAGACCATGGGTTTAGGAGCAGTTCCTTTTGCTATTAGGTTTTTAGTTTAGTGTCTAGATGTGTGGTCCCATTTTATTTTAAATGAGGACACTGAGGAGTGCACGACTGACTCCTCATGTAAGGGCCAGCAACTCTCAAAGGCTATTTAGAA